AAACTACTCAATTCTATGGGGGTCCTTGTACAGAAGATTCTATGATGAATGTAAATAACAAGTTTGTCGAAGTATTACTCATATGAACTAATCTGATGTTTATTTTTCTATATTTCTCCCAATGTAAAATTTCAAGAAAAATGAACAGGAGATAGCTTTCAGAAGCATAACAATTCCAAGTGAAAACTCACTTCTAACATCACCACAAGAAAGCAGGGACAAAAGAAAAGTTGGGCTTCAAATATTTCGGAAGTGTCAGGTGTAAATCTTTGGGTATGGCTTTCATGGACAATCTAGAGAGGAACATTATGCTACAAGGGAAGGAAGCTCAAGATACTTAAATAACAATGTTCCACATATAATGTTCTGTGGTTTAAGTATGCAAATAGCAAACAGTACAGGCAAACCCTGGAGATATTGTGGGTTTGGTTCCAGACCACTGCAATAAAGTATCACAATAAAATCAGTTGTAATCTTTTTGCTGATGGAGGGTCTTACCTTCAATTTGTAAAAACTCAACATCTATGAAGCACAATAAAGTGAAGCGCAATAAAATAAGGTATGCCTGTATAGTAAAGATTCTAGGCCTAGTTAGAGATCAGAAAATTGCTCTGAAGATAAAAACAATGCATATATATGTTAAATCCAGTTTTCCAAAAGTTTCAAGATTTTTTTCAAATTTCAAATGGGGTGCTCATCTCAAAGTATCTTAATTATTAATGAAAGAAAATATAGTTACTTAACATAAAAACAAAGATGTATGGAGTCTTCCTTGTATACTAAGTTAAATACCACTGTGATTTAAACCAGTCCCGGTTATTTGTTTTACTTTGCCTTTTTTTAAATAGACTATTTTTTCAGAGACCTTTAGGTTCACGGCAAAATTGAGCAGAAAGTACAGAGAGTTCCCATATATCCCTGTTTGTTTTTAACATTTTGGCTAGATGTTAACCTCCATGGCCCTTGACAAAAATGGAACTTCATCCTGGATCACTCTGCATTCTACCACTACCAGGGCTTGACAATGGCAGGTGTCTAGAATTAAGAGAGTATTGAACTTTCTTTACTTAGCTTGAGAGGCCTGCAAAGAAACTAGGTGGAGAGAAATATTAGTCTTCAGTATGTAGTTCTGGCATTGATAATCATATTCATGTTTTCTTTTAAAGCTGGATTTACTTGATGGCTCCACGAACAAGCTTGAATGAAGACACGATGAGTATTTATACAATACTAGGTCCACTGGATGCACACGCATGTAAAAAACAAGCTGCAATAAATATATGAAAAGATACTACTAATCAGAGAAATGCAAATTAAAAGAATGAGAAATCGTTTCACACCCATCAGACTGGCAAAGGTTTCAAGTCTCATAAAACCAAGTGGTGAAAAGAAATGCAGAAACAGGCTCCTAAATGCAGATGATGAAATGGATGTAGACTAGAACCACAACTAGTAGAATGAAAAATACATGTGTATGGCCTCTAAACTAGGGCTTCTGCTTCTAGATACACACCAAGAAGACACTTACTGAGGCCAGAGAAATAATATATAGTAATATATAAAAATGGAACAGATCTATTGCAAAACAGCTTAAGTAGACAAAAAGAGATAAAGGGCAAAAAGTTGGGCAAATGTCCATCAATAAGGGAATGGATAAACTTATATAGTCATAAACCAGTAAGTATCAACAGTTAAAGAATCAGAGCCACAGCTAAAACTAAAAAATCACTCCCTGCCCTCCCAAAAAATTCACTAAGTTTAATCTTTTTAAGCTGCAAATGGATACACAAAGCATAACATTTGTATAAAAGTTTAAAACACATCAAGACAATAAAGTATATACTATACTACTGCAGATGCATATGTGTATAGCTCGAAATATAGAAATATCAATGAGAATGAAACATATAAATTTCAGGTGACTATGTTGAACTGTACCTGAACCCTGTGCCCTGTGCTCCTGGAAAGCAGTGATGGTTAAGAAATCCACCCCCATCATTTTGTGTTCTAGGGAACAAGTAACACAAGGATTCTGCCCCTGCTCATTTCAACTATAAGACCCATCCCCATGCTTCCTTAAGGCTCTTTGGTCTACCTGTCCTAGGTCCCTGTCCTCTGTTTTTTTTTTTGGTTTGTTTTTTTGGGGGATGGGGGTGCGGGGATGTTCCTCGTTAATTGATGTCCTTCCAATTGCAGTAGCCTTGAAAAAAAAATAATTTCCTTAATTGGCTGATACATTATGTCTCTGACACAAGAGTGGTTGGTTGGTTATCTCTGGGGAGAGAAGGGAATGGGATAAGGAAGAAGATGCATACTTAGCTGTAATGGTAACATAAAACCTGAAGAATGGCATAAAGTTAAACTTTTTTGTACAAAGGAATCTGTTATTCTGTGTACTTTTCTGCTATTCTGTGTACTTTTCTGCTTAAAATATTTAAATTATTTTTTAAATTATTTAAAAACTTGATGTGGAGTCAGAAAAGGTCCTAAGTCAATCCTTCAGTCTGTTTTCCGATACGTTATATAGGCACATGAGCATATGCCCAACCTATTCCACTATGCTCTCATAAGTAAAAGTGTTTTTGCTAATCATCAAGTGGTAGAACACATTTGTAATTCAGTCTAAGCCAATTAGCTCAGTTTGTTAGAGCAGAATTCTGATTAGTTAAGGGTTGGATTATCACGTAGACCTTTATTTTGCTTTAGGTGCACCATCACCCTCATAATTAGGAGAGAGCCATACAGCTATACCACAAATGCACATACTATCAGTTACAAGAGGAGCTAGGCAAGTTTGTGTGTTATGTCTCAATCTATACCCAACAGAAGAACTACTGAGCAGATAACCCTAGAAACTTGATGGTGGGTCAGTAAACAATCTTTGTATGAGGAACCTGGCACACCCAGCACACATACACCAAAGTTTTGTTTGGTGTGTGCAGATATGGTTCTGTGAAGGATAGGCTTTTCTTTTTTTAATCTTTCTTTTATTGGCACTGTAAAGTGAGACTTTGAAAACATGAAATCTCATCTTAAAGTGCCCAAAGTGATCTTCTGAGTTGGTTTCAAATCGCTTAATTCTAAAGTGCTTCTAGAAGACTTGGTGAGTACTAGGAGCAGTTGAAATTTAACCTAAAAAAAAAAAAAATTTGAACAAGCATCTAACCAACAGATCTAAACAGTTTCAAACACAGAGGTAAAATGCTAAAATGTGGGATAATAAAGGAACTTTCCATCTTCACAATATTCTCTAATAGCAGGACTGAAGGGAAATGCTCTGTGCTTGTTAGGCTCAATACAAGAGTAGCTTTAAAAATGGTCAGTCTGAAACTGCTTTGCAAGCATCCAAACGAGACTAGCTTATAAGGTCTTCAGCACCCTAAGGCCAACAGGTTTGAAATATATTCAGAATCACCCATATTGATTTTTATTTCTCCTCCTCCCCTAAAAACCAGTTAAAAGATTCATTTTATTTGAATGTGCAGAAATATGGAAGTTAAGCTTTAACTAGAGTTTAACTAAAGGCAAAATGCTTGGGCCTATTTTCAAACAGAAAATAAAGTTTTCAATCTAGCAATTCAAAAAAGTAGAAATGTCAAGTCAGAAGACCCTACAGCAGGTTCCAAAACACTTTCATCAGAGAGGATGGTCTTAAATTTATGAGAATTCAAAACCCTTAATTTAAAAGTCTTTTAGTAAAAGTAGTGTATACATTTATAATTGTAAAGAGGTTAAAGTCTTAAAATGTTGACCCTTTACAGCCTACAAAATTAAACCAAAGAAAAACCAAAACTAAACAATATCGAATTCCTATTACATATCCTCCTCAGTCATCGAGAAACTATTGATTAATCTTTTTCCACTAATGAGCCAGCCTGCATAGTCATGAAAGTTTGTAATACCTTAAGAAAACCAAAATTGTTATTCAGAAAACATTCTGTATGGAAATAAGCTGGTACCAACTGCTTCCAGGCAGACAGATGCAATAACAGTGTAATATTTCTAGCAAAGTCTGGTAAGCCCTTGCCTGCAAATCATTGACCAAAAATGGTAATAGAGTGTGCCAACTAAAGAAAATGACAAAATGTTCTACTTGAGCGTCCTGTTAAGAAAACTGTTTTACAGCAAACTGAAATTACAGTGTAGAGAAAAATATATATAAATTAGGTAGTGTCCATCAGCTAGTATACAGTGAACATCTGTTTACTTTTTAGAGACTCCGATAATTTAATGGACTTTTAAAAAGCTTTTTCATTTGCTTTGATGAGTATCTCAGAATCATGCCCACACCTTCCATGTTAAAATCTGACAGAGCTAAACTGTTTACAGGTAAAAGAAAATTTCTAACTATACACGGAGAGATCGGGCAGGCAAGGGTTAAAAGAGACACTGCCAAGCTTGACAAGCACGATGAGAGTGCTGCTGGAAGCTGATTGCCAGATACCGCAAACAAAGCGGCTGCGAGGCCACCCATTCTTAACCATGCCAGGGTCATGCTCGTAGTGTTCACACCGCACTCCAGGGTTGTTCAATAAAGGCCTTATTTTCCTTATCCGGATGGACAGACCTCGCGGGCCGAAACTTGCACGAGTCACTATCTGATGCCTCTGTGCCGGGCTTTGGGGAAACGTGTGCCCCAACGAGGCCCGCGCGGGATTCCAAGCCCCCCAGCCCGGGCTGGCGAACCCTCCCCTGACAGATATCACGAAGCAGGGCGGAGGGGTTCGCCGCCGACTGGTGGTACCGAGGCCGGGGCGGAAGGGACGGCGGCGACCACGCTCCGGGGCGGCGGCCTCACAGCAGCTGCGACCGACGCAGCGGCCGGGGAGCCGCCCCGGGACTCGTGAGACCAGCGGGTCCGCGGGCGGCGACGCCCTAGACGCCTCCACTGCCGGGAGACTGCAGCGCGGCCCGGGTCCCCTGGGCGAGGAGGCAGCGCTCGCCCCTCAGCCCGCCACCCCCGCGGCGGCAGCTCACGCCTCGTTCCCCCTGCCACTCACCATCTTCGCCGCGGCGGTCGCAGGGACGCGGGGGAGGGAACCGGCCCGCTCCGAGTCTTCTGAGCTAGCTGCCTCCTCACCGCAGCGGGACGGAACCACCAGGCGCGGAGGCGACGCAGAGAGCGAGCCTACCAGGGGGCGGGCGCGCGGGCGGGCACGCGCGCGGGGCCCAAACTCCGCTGCACACGTCACGCGCTGCTCGCCGTTGCTGCGCAACGGGCTGGCCTGGTAACGCCCCGCCCAGGCGGCCCTCCGGACTCCCCGCAGGCGTGGGGGGGGGCTCTTCCTCACCTTCTGGAGAGTGGTGTACCGAGTCCCACTCACCAGCTCGGCTCTAATGAAGGTGGGGGTGGGTCCTCCCTCATCTGTGACGGATGAGGAGGCAGAGCTTGGGTTAGCACCTGCCGCTGAGGAGCCGGCAAAGGATGACCCGAGGTTGACGTCACTTCTTCCCCCATGGGCGGGGCCACGTGGCGCTCCGCCCACTTGCGAAGGCGTTGCCCTTACATGGAAGTAGCCACCTGGCCAGGTGTGTGCAGCCTCTGGGGCGGGGCCTCGGAGGGAGAGAAGGGAGGGGAGGAAATAGTGGGCGGAGCCGCAGAGTGGGAGAAGCGAGGGAGGAAGGGCGGACGCCTAGGCGCGGACCGCCGCAGAGGGGGATGAATCCTGCATATTTTACCTACTTTGGTGCGATTCCCGCCATCCTCCCCTGATTGGCCCAGCCAGGCACTTCGGGTCCTCGCCTAAGGGGAAAAATCTGCACATTTTCCTCCTTCCCAAGGCGACTGTGGCCGTCCCGAGTGCTCTGAGTCACCGCTAATTTCAGGTCTGGAAAAAACAGGGAGTGATTTATTTATCTTTGGGAACAGCCCGAGGAGGGAGACTCTGCAGTCCGCAGGGGTGTGGCTGGGAAAGGGCCCGACTTGATTTAGGAATATGGCGCCAGCCCCGCTGCTCCGTTTTTTGGGGGTTAAATTTGGGCTTTTTTTTTTTTTTTTTTTTAAATAATGGTTGATTGCATCAGAAACAGTTTTCACAGGGCCAGAAGGAATCCCAACGTTTTTCCTGAGGATGCTTTTATGTGGAATAAAAGGAACAGAAAGAATTTACAACGGAGATGATTACTTAATTTTAAGTTTTATTTAATTTAGGCTACTGAGAACATCACGGCCTATACCAAAACTATTTAAATTCTCCAAATGTGAGGCTTTTGGACAGGATGGTCAGTGCATTCTTTGCTTATTTTGTGGGCACTACCCAAAAATCTAGGTTGTATGTGGCTTTTGTTCTGACCATTCAGCATAGAAACTCATTTCTCATTACTCTTGTCGTGTTTTTTATTTTGTTTTTAAGAAAGAGCAAGTTGTGGCAATTCTAAGCCTTTACAACCTGCTACGAAATTTTTGTCAGGCTAGAGCAGTGGTTCGCAACTTGTAGAGAACTTGGTCAAAATTAGATTTGTGTGCCCCACACCCTAGAGTTTCAGACACAGTGTATCTGGGATAAGAGCCGAGAATTTTCATTTCTAACAATTCCCTGGTGATGCTAATGCAGTTGGAGTACTTTCTAACTTTGAGAAGAAAGAACTCTCTCTATCCACCTGCCGCTGGAACCCTTTGTTTCTCTCTGTCTCTGCGTGGGACTAAGTGCCTGCCACCACCCTTTAAGTCCTCAAGACTTCCTTTCTAGTCCAAAATTGAATTGTGTTCATTTAAGGACACAGTCTGCCTCCTGCTCCAGCCTCTGTTCTGCGTTTAATCCTCCACTCTGCTACCAGAGTTATGTCCAAACATAAGAATCTGATCCTGGCACATTGCTGCATAAAATTTTCTATAGCTTCCTCCAGAGTTCTCAGCAGGTCAGTCTGGCCTTTTTGCCTCTGGTCTCAGCCTACCTTTTTTGCCCTGTCTCCCACATCTTCCAAAAGGCCTCGTTTTCTTCCAGAACTCTTCTTGCTCTCTTTAACTGCTGTAATCATCAGCCTGCTCGTTTCTCAGTCTGGAATGTACCTATAACCATCTAGTCTAAAGATCTCTAACTGCTTCCCAAAGGACCAATAGTGTGCCTTTTATAATCCAACAGTTCGTCACGTCTCAAATCTTGCCCAGATCACTTGAAGATCTTGTTAAAATGGAGATTCACAGGGTTAGGGCTGGGGCCTCAGGTGTCCTCAAGTGATTGAAATGCTGCGGGTCCTCAACTTTGAGTAGTAGCGAGATCTTATGGTTTTTCCCTACTGTTAGTATAGCTCTGTAGTTGTTTGTTTATATTACCACTACCACCAAATTAGACCCGGTTCCTTGAAGATGAGGTATTTAGGATGCACCTGATATATATAGTAGGTGTTTAATACATGTTTTCTCAATAAGTAAACCAATATCTGAAGATATTCATCAGGCAAACTTTTATATCAGTTCACTATAACTAAAGATGAGCCCCTTTATTCTTAAGGTCCCATTGAACTTTAACTTCTGCATTTACACATAAGTTTGATCTTTCCATTCCTTCTCATCCCACAGAGGGAAGAAGTTTTAACATAAGGTCTCTCCTTAAATATGAAATGGGCGTATTCCATTTCTCATTTAGAAAACATGCTTAACAATATGTCTTTGCATACTTAACAATCTGTGAACATATAGGCCTTTTTTAAAAAAAACTATTAATATGAGTGGCAGGGAAGAATGAGTTATACATTAATGAGGCGCTTGAAGAGAGATGTGTGTTAACCAATAGACTAGAAAAAGGTTTTTTCAAGGCAACATAACTCTGTCAGTATATAGTATAGAAAAAACTTTTTAGTTTCTCCTGTGCCTCCCCACAAATTCACCTGTTCCCTATCTGCTACCCTTGTTTATGTCTGTAGTCACTTTCAAAAAAAAAATAATTTTAGTCATATAAATAAGACATGAATATATTCTCATTATAAAAGATTCAAATAGTACAATAAAGGAAAGCCCCTTGATCACCTCTACTCTCCACACCCATAGCCTCATTTCCTTCCTCAAAGGTAACCACTGCTATCAATTTGGTCTATGGCCTTATAGAGAAATCTGTATGTGTTTTGTGTTATGTTTTGCTTTTGTTGGTGTTTTTTGTAATGATTTTATGCTGGATGTGTGGTGTCTTGTGGCTTACTTTCTGATTTTCTTGATTTCCTGCCTGCTGGGTCTGTCCATTCCTGATCGAGTAGCGTTAAAGTCTCCAGCTGTGATAGTGGAGTCAGCTTGCAGTTCTCAGTTTTGCTCCACGTAGTTTGACACTGTTGTTAGGTGCATACACATTAAGAATTGTTGTGTCCTCTTGGAGAATTGACCCCTTTATCATTATACAATACTCTTCTTTTTCCCTGATAACTTTCCTTGCTTTGAAGTCTGCTCTGCCTGAAACTAATATAGCTACTACTCCTGCTTGCTTTTGATTAGTGTTAGCATGGTATTTTGCCTCTATCCACTTACTTTTAATCTATATGTGTCTATTTAAAATAGGTTTCATGTAGATAACATATAGTTGGGTCATGTTTTTTGATTCACTCTGGAAGTCTCTGTCTATTTGGGGCATTTAGACCAATGATACTCAAAATTATTATTATGTAGTTGGATTCATATCTACAATATTAGTTACTCTTTTCTATTGGTTGCCCTTGTTCTTCATTCCAATTTTTGTTATCCACTTTTTGCTTTTGATGTTTTAATTGAGCGTTTTACATGATTCCATTTTCTCTCCTTTTCTAGCATATAAATACTTCTCTTACTTTTTTTAGTGGTTGACCTACAGTTTGCAATATATCTTTATAGCTAATCCAAGTCCACTTTCAAATAACACTATACCACTTCAAGCGTAGTGTGAGTATAATAACAAAATAATACTAATTCCTTCCTCTTGTCCTTTGTATCATTGCTGTTATTCATTTCACTTATAAGCATACATTACATATATATACACACAAGATATATACATAAGCATTGTAGTCATATACATTGTTGCCATTATCATTTGAATAAACTATTATATGTTAGATAAGAATAAGAAAAATATATTTTACTTTCACTTATTTTTTTCAATGTTCTTTATGTAGTAGATCTGAGTTCTGATGTGTATTATTTTACTGATGTGTATTATTTTAGCTAAAGAACTTTTTAAGACATTTCTTGCAAGGTAGATGTACTGGCAACAAATTCTCTCAATTTTTGTTTGAGAAAGTCCTTATTTCTCGTTCACTTTTAAAAGATGATTTTGTAGGGTACAGAATTTGAGGTTGGTGGGGTTTTTACTCTCAACACTTTAAATATTTTCATCTACTCTCTTGCTGGCATGGTTTCTGAGGAAAAGTGAGATATAATTCTTAGCTTTGGTCTTCTATAGGTAGGGTGAGTTTTTTTTTTGCCTAAGTGTAGTTTTGTTTTGTTTTTGTTTTGAGGTTTTGGTTGGTTGGGTTTTGTTTTTGTTTTGTTTTTACATTCATCTTGCTTAGTGTTCTCTGAGCTTCCTGGATACGTGGTTTGATGTCTGACAATAATTTAAAGAAATTCTCAGTCAGATATTTCTTTTGTTTCTTTCTCTTTCCTTTCCTTATGGTATTCCCATTACATGTATGTTATACCTTTTGCAGTTGTCCTACAGTCCTTAGATTATTGTTTTTTTTTTTCATCTTTATTCTCTTTGTTTTTCAGTTAGAGAGGTTTCTATTGATATATCTTGATATAGCCTTTTACTTAATTTTTTCCTCAGCTGTATCCAGTCTACTAGTAAGCCCATCAAAGGCATTTTCACTTCTGAGATTTTTGCCTTCTAGTATACCTTGTAATTTTTTTTTTTTTTTTTTAAATAGCTGGACATGATGTATTGGTTAAAAGTAACTGCAGTAAATAGGCTTTTTGTGATGTGGTGGTGAGGTATGGGAGGAGAGGGCGCATTCTATAGTCCTATGATAGGTCTCAGTCTTTTAGTGAGTCTGTGCCTCTGGACTGTGAACTTTGCAAGTGTTTTTTAGTTTTATTTTTCCCCCGTAACTGGGACAGGATGGATAGAGTGAGGTAGAGTTGTATATTTCCCTTTCCAGTTAGGTTAGGCTCTGATTTATACCCCAGCAGGTTAAGCTCTGGTAAATAGTTTCCCCCCAGGGCAGGCCTTAAGAAGAACAGAGTGTTCTAGCACAGTGGTC